GATTTTTTGCATACAGAACTTGAAGGGAAAGTGTACATGCAACAATCGGAAGGCTTCATAGAGAGGGTCAAGAAGGACTTGTGTGCAAATTGAAAAAGTCCGTGTACGGCTCAAGCAAGCATCAAGACAATAGTATAGAACATTTGATACATTCATGATGAGCCTTGGGTACATAAGAAGTAAGTATGATCATTGCATCTATTTAAAGTTCTTTGATGATGGTACATACTTAATTTTAGTCTTATATGTGGATGACATGTTTTTGGTGTGCAAAGATAAGGCAAAAATTGATGAGCTTAAGACTTCTTTGAGCAAAAGATTTGATATGAAGGACTTCAGGCTGGCAAGTCAAATCCTTGGGATTGAAATTGAAAGGGATAGACAAAATGAAATTTTGTCATTATCTCAAAAGGGTTACATAGAAAGGGTGTTTGAAAAATTTGGCATGAATGATGCAAAGCCAGTGAAGTTAGCGCCTCACTTCAAATTGTCTTCAATGCAAAGTCCGAAGATGGAAGAAGAAGGAAGCATGGCTAAGGTTCCTTATGTAAATACGATTGGAAGTTTAATGTTTGTCATGGTATGTACAAGACCAAATATCGCTCATGTGGTTGGAGTTTTAAGTTAGCTTATAGTAAACCTCGGAAAGGTCCATTGGGAAGCAACAAAATGGGTGCTTTGGTACTTAAGATGTACAACTAGTTATGCAATTACCTTTGGCAAGGGCTCAACCCAAATGCAAGGTTTTGTGGATACAAATTTTGCCGGTGACATTGATAGAGATAAATCGACTACCGCATTTATTTTTCGGTTTGCAAATGGATCGGTTAGTTGGATGTCAAGGCTCCAAGACACAGTAGCATTGTCAACTACTAAAGTCGAGTACATGGTGGCAACCGAGGCATCAAAAGAAGTCGTGTGGCTTCAAGGGTTGATAGGTGAGATGGGCATTATGTGCAAGCCCATAGAACTATTTTGTGAAAATATGAGTGCTATCCATTTGGCCAAGAACCCGGTTCACCACAGAAGGTCAAGGCACATATTGGTTCAATATCGCTATATTTGGCAAGTTGTTGAAGATGGAAGAGTTCGATTGGTCAATATCAAGATCGATGAGAACCTTACGGATATGCTTACAAAGACCATCTAAATAGAGAAGTTAGAATAGAGTCTAACCTCTCTAGGATTCAAGAAAGAAAGGAAGTGATGGATTGACAAGGCAAGGGTGTGATTTTGTATCAAGGAGGAGATTATTAGGGTGTGATGTCAAATCACCCCCATGTGGTATTCCCCTCTTGTTCAAGGGCATTTTCATCCCTAAAATGTATTTTTTGAGTGGAGGGTCTTTAAAAGGTTTCTCTAGAGAGAGAAACGTGGATGAAAAGTGGGTGAGTGAGGGAGAAAGGGAAATTTGTAGAGAGAGAAGTTTAAGGTTGGAAATTAGGGGTTTTTGCAACAAAACCCTAGCACCACCATTTGGGGCTCATCTTGGGCCATTTTAACGGCATTTCTTCGCGGAATTGGTGAATCGAATAAATGAGTCAATTGTAGGTGGTTTATAGTAGGAAGTTTTTTTTCTGAGCATTCCTTCATATTATATGAGGTAACTATATATAACCCCAATCTTATAATTTTTCCTCTTGATAGTGAATACACATTTGCCGTCTTGCCTATGGATGTAGCCCATCTTGGGTGAACCACATGTATGTGTGTATCCCTCTCTACTTTCATTTGTGTTGTTCTTTGAAGATTTATCATGTTGTTTGATTTATTTTTCTTATATTTTTCCCAATTATATTTCACTTGTTATTGCATCTTGGGCATGTTATTTGAGTGTTGAAATCATTATGGTGTAGTGCTCACTACATCTAGTGGGATTTGAGATATCCCGATTTGCTCAAAAGGGGTGATTGAATTATCCCGATTTTACAACACTCACAAGCTATTTTTTATTAACATTTGTCCAAATCCCACCACTCTTTGCTACAATAATTCATGTGGGTTACATGATCACAACTTTTTAATTAGAGGAGAGGGAGAGACTAGATTACAATCCTCTAGGCTTTGATACCAAGAAGAGGGACAAGGGTTGGGCTGGGAATTTACCCCAGACCTGACCTGGAACTTGACAACTCGATCTGGTCTAGGTCCGGGTATGCATTTAATATTTTGTCAAAAATTGTATTTCTGTATATTTGGGCCTTAGACCCCCATGAAAGATTATTTCATAATACTGCAAAGAACTCTCTGTTTATTGATCTTTTCATAAAGAATATACCAGACCCGTATGAATATATGGCCAGTAACAATTAAAGATAAATATCAATGGTTATGGATAACTACTAATTAATCTTATCATAATCAAGAGACACCTAAGAAATATATATCCAGACATATACATATCTCATTATGTATTCATAATGATATAAATCAATATAGATATACATACTCTAATACTTCCCTCAAACTCAATATGCTTTTATACAAAACAGCTGGAGTTTGAACAATAAGTTTAAAGTTTGAATAATAATTTGTATAAACGAACGAGTTTGATCTTTAAACCTTCATATGCATGGCGTGACCAATAGAAGCAGTGGAAGCAGTGGTCTCTTGCTTAAAGAATAAACGAACGACTTGGATCTTTAAGTCTTTACATATATGGCGTGACCAATAGAAGCAGTGAACGCAATAGTCTCTTGCATGGCGTGACCAATAGAAGCAGTGGAAGCAGTAATCTCTTGCTTAAAGAAGAAGCACAGAGGAAGCAGTGGTGTCTTGCTTGAAGAAAAAGCACAGAACTCAATCAGGATCCGAGCCATATTCAGCAACTCGCAGTCCAGAACATAGGCTAGAATAAAGACAAATGTTATTTTGCAAAGAGTCTTGCAGAGAGTTGAAGCACAACTCGGCAGAGAGTCGAAGAAGGACTCAACAAAGACTCGAAGAAGGACTCGACAGAGAATGAAGATCGGCCATTTTTAAAGGCAATTTTAGAGGTGGATGAAGCCTATGGACAACAAAACACCTCTGTAGACACCTAAGAAAGCTTTTCCTGAGACCCACACAGATAGTTTTGAACTGCACAAAGATTTGCTTGCAAAAAATAATTGATGGAGATTTGCTCACAAGCATATGCTTCTCATCGGATCCATCCACGTTGTCATTGGTTTTGGTGTCAGAAACCTATTATAGCTTGAAAATCCTCATTTCACTCTAATTATGAAAATTAATATTTCAAAAACAGTATAGATCGAAATACTTGAAAATGGACCATTAGATAACTTGTTACAATATATAATATTTTTAGGACTTGGAATTCTTTTTTTCTGTATATCACATCTCGAGGTCGGGATGACTAATTGGAGGGTTTTTCAAATTGCAAACATTTTTTTCGACAGATTTTTGTGGTGCACCTTACTCTTTTTTTTTGGAAATTCAGTGGGTAAGACAGGCCCCTACCCGTTTTTTCAAGTAGATTACGAGTTAGCTTTTTCTAAAAGTACTACTGAAGTGGTGTTATTGATAAAAGACCTCAGCCTCATTCCTAGGTGCAGCTTACTTGTCCAGCATAAAGTTGCAACCTTACATCAATAATTTCCGATAAAAATGGTTCTCTCGCCATTTTATTCCCTTTCTAAAAAGAGAACCCTCCAACAGAACTAACTTACAAGTTAGGGTGGTGAGTTTTTGCATAATTGCAGTGGCTTGTACTAAAGAAACATTGGCCAATCACTATTTCATTAGGCCTTTCATTTGGAGTGTAACATTGGTACACCTAGAAATAATTGATTGGGCCCTTGAATTAACAAGCAAAAAAGGCGTCTAAAAGGGTGTCGAGAAAGGTTTCACAGGTGCCCACAGGTGCCCCATTTTCATGGGTGTTTTTTTCTTCTTTTTTTTTTGCCCCATTGAGTCCAAAAGGGTGTCGAGAAAGGTTTCACAACCCTTATCCATTTTTATAAATAATTTAAAAATTAGTTTTTTTTAAGATTTTAACGGTCTGGTGTCAATGAAAATGAAAACCACAATATGGTGACTAGGGTGTGAGAGTGCTACTATCAAATAACAACCACTTTTCCAAACATTCTTACAACTTAAAAAAAAAAATGCAATGTCATATTTCATATTTGGATCACTATATTTAATTGGAGACCAAGTCATGTTTTGATCAAGCTGCATTTGCAAGTAGGATGAAAATTGGTAATTCCAATTTAGTTTCGAGAGCCTGCTTGGGATCCAAAATGCACCACTTGAACCAATCACCTAGATGTCACTCTGACAGTGCAAAGGCTTGTTCAGTGGCAGCACCCAAACGAGGCCCAAGCCTAAGCTTTGACGGTTCTATAAATTTTACTAGGATATAAATTCCTCAAATTATAACCTCTTAACTTAAGTTCTCCCTTTCCCAGGTGTTAGAAGCTATCGCCATTCATAGTGTTTTAAAGAACAAAGCTCTTGTTCAAAACTTTATTTGGATTTTTCTATTGCTTGTACATGCTAGCAATATCAAGGGGCTAGTTCCATTTCCCTGCCCGGTTTACACCTGATACGGGAAAAGAGGTTTTCTTCTAATGTTAATGGACAGGAGATGGGGAAAAGAGGTTTTCTTCTAATGGTTATGGACAGGAGATGACAGCTCATTCCGAGTGAGCTGAAACAGACAAAAATGTCGGATTTTTTACCGTTTCAAGAGACGACGATATCAAAAATGGTCTGTCCAAACTAGGCCTAAGAGTAAAACCTAGTCAAGAATACCGAACGCTCCCAAGTGCTTCGCACAACGTAAACCATTCTGGAATCTGGATGCATTTAGTAATCCTCACGGCGATTATCGCTTTTAAGTAAATTAAACCAAATGCTTTCTAATATCTTAAAAAAAAAGCTCAGTAAAATATTGTAGCTGCGAATTATGTTAAATTTCATCCCAAAAAGAAAAACCCATACCACCTTGAACTAAGGGGTATCACCAAGGGACACAAATCATCGCACTAAGGAAGGCGGTTGAATGTGAAAGAAAGGAAGTCACTTCCTATTTGACCGAACCCAATTGACTTTCTTACAGCCACTAACATACATTTCACTTTTTTAAGGTTTCCATTCTCAGAAACAATAAATGGAACCCTACCGGTAGACGGCATTATAAACAAATCACAAGCCTCGAGGAGGTTAAAAAAACGGACCACTACTTTTGCAGCACGTGCTTCTCATACAACGCAACTACATCCTTCTTGTTGGGGTTCCTTATCTCAAGCAACTTATCACCAAAACCATGCTTTGTGAGCTCTTGCTTGAGCTTCTGAACTGTGAACTTTGTATACTCATCAGCATCGACACTGACATTATCGTTATTATCAGTATCATCATCCGGTTTAAACACAGAGCCACCATCATCCATCTGAAGCTTTTTCGGGGGACTGGTTGTGCTCTTTGATTTCTTCCTCCCTTTCGATCCTATCACCCTTTCTTCCATATCGACATCCATATCTTGAACTGAGGCATGGCCCTCAGATCTCAACCTTTTAGTACTACGAGATGCACTCTTGAGCTTGTGATCCAGGGCGGACTCATTGAGGCGAACCGATGTCATTTCTTGTTGAAGATTGTCTAGTATTGCTTGAGTTGACTGAAGCTGCAAAGAGAGAGCCTCAGCCCTGTTGTTTGCTTCAGTTCGAGCCGCTCTTTCTGTGGCCAAAAGGTTCTCGAGGACATGGACCGTGCTTGCCCTTTGCTCATTGGTTGATTTCAATAGCACCTCTATCTCTCTCTCTCTCTCTTCAACCCTAGCTTCCAGAGAGACTACCTTGGAGACAGCATCCTGTTCTGAGGCACGAAGACGGTCAACATCTTCCTCTAAATCAGCTCTCAATCTCTGAAGGTTCTCAACATGCCTCTCCGCCCTTTCGATTTGAGCAAGCCTCTCAATGGACAATCGGTGAACTTCATTCTTTTCTCTTTGGGCAGCAAGGGCTTCACTTCGAGCTTTTTCGGCCAATTCTGTCGCCTTCTTTGCCTCCTTTTCAGCAGCCTTGCATCTCTCTTCAGCTTCTTCAAATCTCTTGAACTCAGATGCATATCTCTGTTCCAGATGGGTTCTCTCTTGCTCTAGAATTCGGGCTTCACTCTCGTATGATTGAGCAGAGGACTTCACATTTTCTAGCTTCTCTAGTAGATCCTTGATTTCAAGTTTCAGTGCAGTGGTTTCTGATTCTTGATTCCTCAATTTCGATTCAAAAGCCTGCAAGCCCGTCATAGTCATGAGGCCTATCTATATCCAATATCAAACTGGCTCAAAAAATGCAAAAAATAAAAATAAAATGCCAATATAAGATTCTCAGTTTGGAGGCATACCTTCAACTGCAAATTCAGACTGCTCGCATGATGCTCAGCGTGCTCAAGTTTTGCCAGTGTATTCTTAATATCTTCATCCTGCCATCATAATGAGAAACATTTCTCAGGTTCCATTTCATTCTAGAGAACTAACAAGCACGACATATGCCAAATAACATGCAAAATGGGGTATAAAAAGGCGGGAAAAGTGGATAGGGTAGAGCTGGCACAGCCAACCACACACAAAGGTCCTCACACTTATATCTCATCAGGAGCCCCGGAGATGCAGTGATCACGTGAATGCCCTATGGAATCGTACTCAATACAGAATGCTCCAATTATTGTTATTGTGAAATATGAAGAGTTTCACTCAGATTAGGGGTTGGGCGTCTTGTGGTTAGGACAAAAGACAGCAATAAAACATCTAAGGTTTGAATCCCAGCTAACTACCCCAAACAATGTGCTGGCTAAAATCATATGGGTAACAGTGTTAGACCAGAAAATCAAACAGAATAGAAAAAAAGGAAAAGAAAAGAACAATGCACAATAAGGATTCAACATAGGAAATGCTCTACACAGGCAGTGTGTGTGTGTGTGTGTGAGAGAGAGAGAGAGAGAGAGAATTTCACCTTTTCTGCCAGGGTAGCTGCGAATTCTGCCCTTAGAGAATCTTCACGCACTTGCGTATGCTTATTAGCACGTTCTTGTAACGTTGCTGCCTTCTCCAGGGCAGCTTTCGCTTCCCTCACAGCTATGTCATACTTCCTTCTCCACTCAGACGCCTCCTCCTGAGCAGACTGAGCTTGTTCACGAGCAGCAGCCAATCTCGCCTCAGCTGCACTACTCTTTGATTTGAGAATTGCTATTTCAGCATTTGATTGGTCTTCTTCAGCCCTTTGCTTTGAAAGAACCTGTTCATATTTGTGTTTCCCATCAGCTGATTCTTGCCTAGCAGAGTCCAGAACTTTGGATAAGTTTGAATGCTTTTCTTCTAATGAGCTATACTTGCTCTGCAAATTAGTTATACGGGCCATATAGTCATCAGAGATTTTTTTCTTGTCAGCAATAGCATCTTCATATCTTTTCAAATAGTCAGCTCCATGCTTCTGAGAAGTCTCCAGCTGTTTCCCAAGTAATACTAGCTTGTCTTCATTTGCACGATATTTCAACATTAGAGCATTCATTTCTGATGAATTCTGATCAACTTGCCTCTTTAGGAGATCATATACTGGACCTTCCAAACTGCTCAGAGAAAATTAACCACAGAAAACTGATTTAGTCGCATGTAAGGAACACCAATTTTTTTTTTTTTTTTTGAGAAGGTAAGGAACACCAAATTAACAAGATCAACTAAGCAAATTGTGGTCTGGACTTTATAACCAGATACATGAATAAACAAACCTCTGCTGTAAAAAGCTGGCAAGTTTCTGCCACTTTCCTGGACCATGAGAAGATTTCTCATATTCTGATACAAGGCCACCCAGAACCTGTAGAAGAAGCATAAGATTACCATCTTTCCCACTATCAATGTGATACATGAGACACATTTCAATGCACACTCCACAATGTTCTGTTCATGTGTGTGTTGGAGCGGTTCACATCTATGCCCATGAATTTGTCAATATAACTGGGAGAGGAGAGGAGAGCGAGGGAGACCCAAGAAAGAGGATAGAACTATGGAGACTAGAGAGAGAACATGTGGCATGTTTACGCAAAGCATGCTAAGAAGTGTACAAATTTGCTCTTTTTCACTCAAAAAGGCTATACTAAGCCGAGAGCAGACAAAGGCAAACTAACAAGATGAGTCTAGGCAAGAGTGAGCAACTATTTACTGTGGATGCCTTGTAAGATGCATTAGAAGACCATTATAAAACCACACACACCATATCTTTTTAGCTATACCTAAAAGCATATATGCAAATGGAGAGATACATTTGCAACCCTGGTCTCGATGAAAATGGCTGCATTAGAAGACCATTATAAAATCACACACACCATATCTTTTTAGCTATACCTAAAAGCATATCTTCAAATGGAGAGATCACATTTGCAACCCTGGTCTTCGATGAAAAATGGCTGCAAATGCAAGCATCACCTAAGTGTACATGACTGTGAGAAAGAAAGGGGTGGCAGGAGGATTGTGTCTCGTGTACCCAACGAAGTATGTGAAGTTTCATATCGCTCTTGTACTTACGTGAGGAGTACGTGAAGCATGGTTGATTCCAGAGCAGAGAGAGAGATTGGGGGAGGAAGGGAAGAGGGAGAGAGAGATGAGTACTATCTCTTTTTCCTAAGGATGCATCATATTACAAGTTATAATACAATATCCTTGAAAGACCTTTGAAACTGCCAAAAAGCACAGGAAAAACAAAGTGTCCACTATATTATTCACATTTGAGACCCCAAACAACTTAAAAAAGGTGAACGATGTATGCATTGCCTTCACATAATGGAATCTTAGGACTGACAATATTATCGGAGCAGCCCATTAACCATCAAACAGGATCATGAACTGAGATAGATCTCTTTAACAACCACTGCCCTTTACCTCACAGCCTGAAATAAATTACAGAAACTAACAGGAAACCTGGGTTACAACCAGAATGTGAGTCTTTGTTACATGGTACAAAATGCGTCTCATTGTGCTGAATGCCATGCATAGTTGCATAGTTGGTTCACCGGTATGTAATAAGACATCTATTTAATTGTATCTTTAATCCAGACCAGCCGGAGTACATTTGAACAAATCATCAAAGACGAGGAAAGAATGCAAATATCAGCTGGAGAACCACACAGTGTAACCCTTAACAAGATTAATGATGTCTCTCCGGAAGAGTTTACAATGAATTGTTCTTACGATTGTGTTGGCAGCCAATGCCCTAATATTTGCTAGTGCCTTTTGCATTGGAGCGTATAATGAAAAATCCCACTTCTAAGGCAACTTTTACGCTGGCAAAATGAAGACATCATGAGGTCATTTTTTTCCTATTTGGACATCCAGTGCAAGAGGGGGGCAGGAATACCAATGGAAAATGAAGCATGAAGGTCCCAAAAAATGCCATGAGAAAGTGGCAACTCTAGCCGAAGTTAATAGTTTCCAGCAACAGAGCACTTAACAAGCAATTACCCAATCTTTCCTAGGAACGACACAAGAATAAATTTATACGACACCTCATTAAACATCAGCGACTTATAGAAGTTGCGGTTGACATGTGCCCATAAAAATGGAAGGGCATTGACTTGATGCATGAGCGCAGAAAGAAAAAGAACAGTTTAGCTACAAACTTAAATATAGAAAACAACTAACTATTACCTCTAAAAAAAGGGGGAATTATGATAAGCGTATCACTACTAAAAAAGTGAAAAAGCATCTCTTACTTTTAAGACTTGGTCGAATTTCGCATCAGGCAAATAACAGGCTGATCGCAATCTCTTCTCTATGTTATGAATAGCATCAGAACACATCAAGTCCGCCTCCCTGAAAGCATTCGTTTTGTAGTCCTGCACAAAATGTCAACAAAAATTATGTGTCTTACAATGGGCCCATTCAACACAAAACTGCTGCATTAGTAATATGCAAACATTAAAAATAGCTAATGTCACGCGAAAAATCAAATACACGTGCAAGCAAGCCCAAACACAGAGATGACTTTATGGTTACGTAAGGATATGCACAATGAAGTAACTTGTATCCTACTCCACTTCTTGGACACTTAGTGTCCTTATTCCCTTGGTACAAATCATTTTTCTTAGGTATGCTTCAGGTATAGCAGGGATTAGACAGGATCAATAGAAAAAGTGCAATAGTTAACCAAGTGGAACATGACATCACCAATATGGGCTATGATGTGAAATGCTACTCCACTCTAGCCTGCCAACATCCATTTGCACGGAAGAACCATTCACATCAACCATCAGTAGTTCATAATGAAAGACCAACATTACTTGTAGCATAGCATCATATACATACTGATGTGTGTGTCTCCTAGTAAGCATGTGTTTGTGTGCTGTGTGGAAACAAACATGTAAGCTACGTCCCATATCAAATATTTTTGGCTCACTTTTCACTAGTGGATAAACGGGCAGTGATCGAGACCATCAAGCCGGTGACCTTGTATTGGTGCCTTTTATTTGGACTTGTCACATAATGGCTTGGACCATATGATGGTTGAGATCACAAATGAACACGACCAAATGGCAGACAGGAAAAAATTTTCCTTTGGGCTGTGAACTCAGGAGAGGCTTTCAAGGAGCTACAAGGTTCCATTCACCAAGGGACACCAAAGTGGAAACATGTAGGCACAAGGTCAGAAAGAATAGACCTATAGCGGTTGTAGGGAATGCGATTGTTGAAAGGAGAAAGGAGAAACTTAAGTCCTGCCTACCAGGAAGATTTGATCCAGCTATAACAAACATTGCCATTTGCCAAAGTTTAGGGCTTCGAGAGCTTGAAACACCCTGTTTCCAGTTGGTAAGGTATGTCAAGAATGGTTTCTACCCCTTCAAGTTTTTGTCTATGATAAGAGGAGCTCAGAGTCTTACAAACAGGGGCTAGAAAGCTGGAGGACACGTTCTTACACCTGAGTGAGCGGGAACCAAGCATTGAAATCACAGCTCAAGCAACTTGATCTGGTTTGGAATCAACTGGGTCACTTATTAGTAAGGTGAACGAGATAGAAGATAGCCTTAGTGTCATGGAGACTAGAATCTTGGTGGAGGTGCTGAAATAAAAACAGCACCGGTGCAGATTGACTTGGAGGTGGGAGGTGACCTACTATCAGTACTGATGAACCCACTGAGACAAAACAGCAAAACCTAAGACCAGACCTCCTAAGGATAAAATTCTGGTCAAGGGAAAGTTTCAGATCCTACCCAAAAATAGGAGAAGAAACTAGAGAAAACAGTGAGTTCTGGTTTGGCAAAAAGGAAGCACCCAGATAAGGGAAGCGAGGAAAAAGGAAAGCACAGGAGAGCTGTTATAAGGTGGAAAACCATGAAAATAGATGGGAAAAGGCAAAATGACCTCTCAGTGAGATAAAACGGAGGAGTCACAGGGACAAATTTCGTTAAGACAGAGGAGGAAATACCTTAACATGCACAGAAGAGGGGCAGCCTCCTCTCTCTAAATCAGTGGAGGAGGATGCAGACGGAGAGCAGAGTGAACTACCTACATTAGAGGAATCTAATCTGTCAGGCTCGATATTGCCAGAAACTAAAGATTAGCTGGAGGGAGAGTAGCACAAAGACGAGGAAGTTGCCCAGAAGGGGAACACAGGATGAGATGGCGAAGGCTAATCCAACAATTGGTCAATTGGCCATGAATCTAACATGTGGAGGAGAGAGTTTGGAACACAGTGAGTCAACTTGTTATCGCACGAGTAGCAGCAAGGACATATACACGTCTATGGCACATGTATTAAAGGGGAAACAGCTATGACCTTACGGTTCAAAAAGGAAGGATATGTGGTGATTATCAAATGTCACAAGTACATGCCTAAAAGCTTTGTTTCAAAATCTGTCCCCCATAAAAGCTTCGATCCCAACAGGAGCCCCACGCCGGTCATCGAAGGGGTTCCAAAATCGTACTTTCTTGGGCTTCTGGGGCCTCATTCTGCCCCTGGAGATTGGACCACAGTTTTGACGAAATCTTTTAAATATGCAGGGCTATTCACGTCTCTTGGATGCATGCATTGAGGAAAGCAAATGCTGCAGCAGACGCCCACCCTAAGGAGGGAACCTCAAAAGCTGTACACGTGAAGAACACTCTCTGGGGACTCTTTGATCATACGCTTCAGGACGCCATCCCCATTTTTTGTATCTATTTTGTTCTATCATATAGCATTTTTTGCCCTCTATGGGGATGTCTCCTTTTTTGACCCCTCAGGGCTGATGTACAGAGCACCTGGTCTGCCGGTGCCTTCTATTTCATTGCTATCCTTTTGCTCTTTCACTTTAAATCAATACAACAGTTAACAGTCTTAAAAAAAAAAAAAAAATTCTCTCCCCAAGAGAATGATGATGCAATGTTATCTTGTATGAGGGCATATTTTCACAAGGAGCTCATGACGACCCCACAATCACATAGCAGCAAATTATCCCCCCTCTTTCCCTGAATAGACATGGTGAGATGAATCCACAAGCATCTCCTCCCCATATATTTCATGATCTTTCTGCCCCTCTTATCATACCACTTCCTTTATATTTTCAGTACCAACTGGGGGTAATATGGGTAAACCCTCTATATTGGGATCTCCACAAACTCCACTGCTGATACCATGGCAAGGGAGGGAGCAATGCAAACTTCTTTTCTAGTGACTCCACCCCCAATTTACCCTTCCTAAACAGCATATTTTTTTGTACTGCTTACCCACCCGCATTTTTGGGAATTACTGGATTACATCCCCCACTGCAATTGTACAACTCTCACAGAATATAACACACAGCTATTTATCAAATAATAATAATAATAATCACCTCAAACTGTTTTCTAACAAAGGCCTGGAGGAGCTTCTCATATTTCAGCCGTGATGAACCTGCACCCACTGCATTGCCATTATATATGGAGAGTGATTTTTGTACAGAATCCTCATGTGCTTCTCTGAGGGCAACCTGAAAGGCAATAAACACACAAACTCATAAAATGCATCAAGGTCACCAACATTCTCTCTATATTAAATGCAAGTTGCAATGTACCTCTTCAGGAGGCTTTGAGCGGTCAAAATTGGATATATAAGCTTCAGCTGCCAAATCATATGCTCTTCTACACTCTCCTTCCTCAACACTCTGCAACAACCAAGTACATTTTTACAGGATGGTTACACACAAAGACCATGTAAACAATGAAAAGGATTGTATGCTATAAAACCATTTTCTTTTGATATGTAGTCACAATCAGTTGTGAAATCTGGCAGCTAGGGATGTGTCACAAAGTTCAAGAACATCTTTTGTGGCTTTTAAGCCCGGTCCATAGTACACCACCAACCACCATATAAAATATCTACCAGCTAAGGGTAATTGTGACCTCTTATACCAAAAATAAATAGCCTTATTGTGTACTTTCTCACAATAAAATAACTGAGAACAGGGTGCTCTGGAAGTACTTTCATTTTCCAAGAAAAGCATGAAAACAAAAACAAATACACGATTGCATGCAAGCATATCTATATAAATGCATATGCAAATGCCATTGTTCATACATGCGCATAGCATAGATATACAATTGCATGCATGTATCCATACATAAAGGTACATGTGATCCATACAATCACATCTGCACAAATATAGACAACCTATAAAATAAACAAAGACATGCATGTATGTAGATGGCATTAAGTATGAATATCACATTTGGACAAGTCTATGAATTCTGATATATAAACAAAAACATATGCAGGAACCTATACATATTTACACTCATGTGCCCACGAGCACATGCTGCACATAAAGACATGCATGTAAGCCATGAAGGCATGCGCCCAAGTATTTATAGTTTTATAGCTTAATAATTGAGCACATTTTGACAACTATATATTTTATATTGAAGAGTACACATTCACAGCAAGTGCACATGGTTAAACTCACATATACACATATAGACACAGAATGCAATCATAGACATATGCATTCGTGCATGTGTGTAGATATATGTGGAGTGATGTCATAAAATGGTTCTACTGTAATATAATGAAACAATCTTTATAAATCATGTTAAGGTCATTTATTTGACCTCAATTTTTAAATATACACTCTTTTCATTCTTATAAAAAATCACAAAAAACTAAACATTTGAAAACACACCTTAGAAAAAAAAAATTAGCTTAATTAATATAGGCCATCTATTTGGTGAGACGCTTAGATCTAAGCCTTAAAATGATTTTTTTACCTTTCCAAAAAAAATTGGATGATTTTTTTATTATTAAATGAACAATGTTAAAAAAGAAAAAGTTGATTTTGAATTCATGAAGGCCTAGATCTTGAAATTCACCAAATGGATGGTCTAGATTTATTATTGCAGGGTGACTCATTTTGAGCATATCTAGGGTGTAATTTCAATTTTACTTTTTTGAGAATTGATTATTGGAATGAAGAGAAGGTGTGTGCAATTTTTGGATTCATACAATAACATAATTACATGAAATCATTCCCCTATATATATATATATATACATATACATGGGAAAAGATCTTGCCAGCCTATAGGCTGGTGGAATAGTGTAAGCCCAACGGCTCAGATATTTTTATGGATGTTTTCCAGCCAACACACATTCACCATTGTTATTTGTTTTCTCTGCAGTCGCAGTTTGAGGCGTTTCCTAAATCTTTTCTTTGCCCTTGAAGGGGACTCCCCATCTTCCAAGGCACTATCTCTACCACCTACTTCTGTCCAGATGTCAACTTAAACTCTTTATCCCCCTACAACTAGAACGATTTCATGTGGGATGGGTTTGTCTCTCCACAGGTTCAATATGAAACCGCAATCTGTGCACACTCGCACCTACAATGGTTTTCCAATTAACCTGAGCCAGCTTGCCACAAGCAAGAGCAAGTTCGCAAAAAACTTCTTATGGCCATGAGTGCAGTGTAACTCTGCTGATCAACTCCTCTAATTTGAATCCAGGGCCTCCTTGGTTTAATAAAGGAAAAACATGACGCTGGCCTCCATCAGAAAAGGGCTAACAGGGAACCCCCAAAAGTCCACCATGCCCACTTCAATACATTGAAGCTTCCTTTGCCGAACCTAGGATGGAGAGTAGATCCCAGTTCTCCAGGGTCTTACAGATAACAGGTGCTGCTGCAGTCCTCCAGACCTAGTAGTTCAGATATCCAGATATGAGGGATTTTCAATTTCCAGGTGGAATCCACCCATCAAGGTTGTTAAGGAGGCCTTCACTTTCACAAATAATCTGATTGTCAATTTTGATTTCAATGGGGTCACCGGTAACCTTTTTTTTTTTTATAAGAAGGACTATTGTTTTAGGAACTTGAGTACTCTGCTCTCCCCAAGCTGATCATCCAAGTAAACCTTATTTCATACCATGAATATCCTTGCCTGTCTTATGCCAACCCATGTATGAAAACTTGGTTATCCTTGCCTGTCTTATGCCAACCCATGTATGAAAATTTGGTTATCCTTGCCTGTCTTATGCCAACCCATGTATGAAAAATTGGTTATCCTTGTCTGTCTTATGCCATCCCATGTATGAAAATTTGGTTTGCTTAATAAAGGATGTCCACCAGCCCGAGGTAGCCAGGAGGGCTATCGCCCTCTGTGAAGACCACCATTGTCCAATGCCTCTCCTCATTCTTATTAATGGACATCATCGTTTGGCCTCCACATTCAATAAAAAAGATTACCCTCAGCTAAAAAAGGCAGCTTGCCTCTGAATTCCTGGGGGGGGGGGAAGGGGCGGTGGGGCAGCCCCTCTTCTTTCCTTCTTACCCATTAGAGCCAAAAATTTCACAATACTCATTTTTGAATGATATATCCACAAGATAGATCACACCTTGAGAAAAAGACATGAAATTTCAGATTTGAGAGTTTGATGATTTCAACCAAGTTTTTTCCATTTACTTAACTACAATTTATTTGCTATGTTTGGTCGTTCCTCAATGAAATTTGTTCATGAGCCTATTTTTGGGTTCTTCATCCAACCACAGACTTGTCTCACTAAAAAAATAAAATAAAAAATTAAACAAAAAATTAAATCCGTGAGATTTTAATTTCGAATTTAGATTTGATTTGAATTTTTAAGAGCTCAGATCACCTAGCTCTGAATTTGAAACCCAATTCTAGATTGGGGTTTCAATTGTCTGAGGATGCATTGACAAGGGATGGGAAATTTGCACCGAATGCAAATTGGCCAAAAAAATTTGGGTAGATTTTATTTTTTAATTTGAATTCATAAAATTGATTTTTTTAGAGAAATATCGTATAATCCAGTACTACTTCAATCAGTTAAAAAATTCATCTACCTGGCCACCTAGGAGGAAAAGGCCTTTCACACCCGCATAAGGGCCTAGGCAAGTTGCCCAGGCATTTTGTGCCTAGGAGCCCAAGGTGCCGCCTAGGCGGCTGCCTCTAGGTGGGAGCCTAGGTGGCACCCAGTACCCTTCGACAAGACGGTGGCAATATGCCCTCTGCAAAGTCATTTTCCTCCCTCAGAGGGAGGGGTAAGGGTTTAGGGGGGCATTGTAACCCCCCAAAACCTACTTTGCTTGTGAGAGAGAGAACTTTCCAAAAACAAGATTTGATGGAGCCAAGTATGACAAGCAACTGGAAGTCAAGTAGGCCCCAAGAGGGCCACAAGATCTCGAATCTCGAGGGAAGAGATTTGAAAAGAATGAGGGAAGAGGAGGAGGATGAGGCAGATTCACATGAGACTAGGGAAGAGGAAGAATGTGTAGAGCCGGGAGATGACTCTGATGATGATGGCATGGCATCATCATCATCATCAGCTGGCGGCTTTGGTGGTGGTGGTGACGGTGGTGGACACTGAGACATTGTTGGTGGTGATGGTGAAACTCAATTACGAATTGAGTTCATCATGATCACATCTGATGTAATGTTGGGAGCATGGCTTTGGATTTTTTTCTTTTTCTTTTTTTCACTTGGCTATGATGACTAATATAGTGGGATGTTGATTTTGGGAAATATTGGGCATCTTTTTCTTCTTTTATTTATTTGACTTCAGACTCAAGTAATTCAATGGCAAGTTCATATTTGATATATGCATGAAATATGGCGTGGTAAGGACTCAGATAATGTGTTTTACTAGTATTTCTAAAAAACTATAGATTCTAAGATCATTTTGAGGCAACCAAACCCCTCTAAACAGCTTCCCTGGGGCCTAGACCCCAAAGTTCCCTAGACGGGCCGCTTAGTGAACTAGGCGCAAACCCCTCTAAACAGCTTCCCTAGGGCCTCGACCCCAAAGTTCCCTAGACGGGCCGCTTAGTGAACTAGGCGCCCACCTAGGAGCTCACTTGGCCGCCTAGACGGCTGAATCCATATTTTTCAACATTGATTTCAATTATTGCTGCATTTTATCAAAAAAAAGTAAAATGCGAATTCTTTTCAAGAATAGAGAAACTTCCTACAAGTATACAGATATAACATTTTAACTACTTATACGGTTAAGTTTATTAATTTGATAATTGTTGCATGGCTTATTTATGCACCTAATGCTTTTATGGTTTTGTATTATTTTCCATCTTTTATAATGCTGGACGCTAGCTCCCTAGAGTGTCGTAAACAAAAAAAATTAAGAACACATAAGAAATTCAATCTATGGCTTTTTATCGTTTATATACTTTTTGTCTTAAAATATATATATATTTTTCATGCTTTTCTGATTTTTACCAGATTTTCACTATTTTTCTCACTTTTTTTCTAGTCTATCTGGGCTCTTTGGCGGCTTGGCAGCTTAGAGACCGGTCCGAGGTCTGCAGCCGAGCCACACGTTCAAAGACTAGTTACAGGTAAGGCCAAATCAAACAACCGCCCCCACCTGGTTCTCTGGGTTTTCCAGATTAAAGGTTTGAATGGACAGGACAATCAGTAGCTTCCAATAAAAGCTGGTGAAACAAGCAGGTCCCATCCGAATTTATCACACTCTTCTGCACCCAGAACTAAATGAGGTTCAAAAATTAAACTCCAAGATTAATGCCCTCAATTAAGGAAAACATCCAAGCACATGAAACAAGTTATTAGTTCAAAGGCAAAACAAGCAGCTATATAAATTCTTCAAAGTAGATTCAATTTGTTATGATAAACAAAAGTTCCTCTTACATGCAAATAACAAACTTTGATGAGGGGACCACAAAAAGCTAAAGACTTATCACAAACCTGCCATGACGAAGAGATAGTAGGCACAGCACCAGAGTTAAGAGCATCCAAAAATGCCTGAGTTATACCAGCAAGAAGTGGACCTGTCATAGTTGTAGCACCAACTTGTTTCGGTCTGGTTCTCTCGAAGACATATTTGGTCAAGGCATCCAGACCAGATCTGAATTCTGGTCGCAACTTGTCGAGCTGCAATTTCATTTCAAATACAGTTAGATCTGGTATTAACTTGTCAAGCTGCAATTTCATTTCATAAATGGGCAGCCTGAAATGAGAGTTGTGCCAATAGAACTACGACTTCCAAGCATAAATTGAACTACAAATTCTACACTGCAAAATATAAAATGTCTTAGAATATAGGTCTAATTGAGATGAGCCTTACAGGAATCTGATCCAGTCGTTGGAGATCTTTTTCACTATTCAATGGCCGCACAAGGGTGAAGCACTCCCGGTCAGGGAAAAGAGCTCGAATCGACTCCCGTATCTGCATTTCAGGAGGAATTAATTAAATGATAAAACATTTCAACTTGGAAGAAATGCCAACAAAGGAAACAATTATAAAGAACTTGCTCCTTATCAGTGAAATGGCATATGACCTAGGTGAATTGCATTCACTACTCCAAGGCCTTCTTGCCAAACTACATGACAAAGCTATACATCTAATTAAGCGTGATATATTTCCCTCAAAAAACTTCAGCCGTGTGTAAATTTTTATGGTCACTAGAGATGCAGGTCAAAATAAACTATATATCAAGTTGCTTATAAAAAACACTCACAGTATGGAATATACAATTACTTGGCACTGCCATAAATTGAACAATACCTTCTTGCCAAACTACATGACAAAGCTATAAGAGAGGAATTGTATCCAATGTTTAAAAAAACGGTCCGCCCAGCACCTAGGTGCCTATAAAAAAATTTTCGCACGCCTCGACCTGGGCGCCCCAACAGGGGCGGCTGTACCTGGGCAGGCGCCCAGCACAGTTTACGTTTTTTTAAAAAAAAAATTCGCCCAAAAGGGCAAAAGGGGTCATCTTGACCCCCAAGTTTGTATAAAAGAAGTTTAGGGGTTTATTTTTCAACCCCAAACTGAAAAAAAACAAGAAACCCTCAATCTTAAACTTATTTATGATAATCTAAAGCAATTGATAAGAATTGAAAGTACTTCTTGTGGATTGAAAAAGTTTGTTTTTCTGTTTAAAATTATTTTTAGGGTCTTATTGGTGGTATTAGAAGACTTTTGAGTTGATTTGTAGCTCGATTGAGGTAACCAACATCGAAGATCAGAGATCGGGTAGAAAACGTCAGTCTGAAATCTTTATTTGAGTTTTATTTTTTCAATTTAAGATGTCTTCTGTGGGGTCTACTAGGAGTGGAGATCCACGATGAAAATATTGTGTTAACCCTGTTAAGAATGACAAAAATAAAATTATGTGCAATTTCTGTGGACATATTTTTAATGCCAGCATAAATAGATTTAAGAAACATCTTGCCGGTATTAAAGGTGATGCTGCCCCATGTAAGAAAGTCCCAGATCTTGTAAAGAAAGAAATTTTGGAGTACATTGAAGCTGAAAAGAGTAAAAAAATTGCAAAAAAAAGGATATAGCAGAATTAAAGTCAGGGGTTTATATTTTTTATGATACTATTGAAACTGAAGAAGAGGATGATGAAGAGGGGGAAGAAGAGGTAGCCATGGTTGGTACTCAGAGCTCTAAGACCAAGAGGGCATTTGGGTCTAAGAAGGCTCGTACAAGAGGGCCAATAGATAGTTTTTTACACCTAGCCCTGAAACAGTAATTGAGAAAGAAAAGAGAAAGGGGAAAAAACAGGTGACAATTGAAAATAGGTTTAAAAAGGAAGATAGAGTCAGGGTGATACAGTATATTGCTCGGTAGTTTTACCATGCGGGCATTTCTTTTACACTACTCGCTTGAATAGCTTCCATACAAAGTTGGAAGCAATTGGGCAATTTGGGCCAGGTTTGAAAGCTCCAAATCCTTATAAATTGGAGAGCCACTACTGAAGAAAGAAGTTGAGTACACTAACGAATATCTCAATACTCATAAGGAGGGATGGGCTAAATTTGGGGTTTCTTTGATGACAGATATGGGGAGTGATAGGAGGAGTAACATGAATTTATTAGTAAATTGTCCCACGGGTACAGTTTTTTTTTGCGCTTAATCGATGCTTCCAATGATGTTCATGATGCGCATTATATATTTTCTTTCATTGATAAGGGCATTGAGGAGGTTGGGGAGAAACTTGTAATTCAAGTGATCATAGATAATGCTGCTCCCAATCTAACTGCAGGTCATTTGCTTCAACAAAAGAGGCCTCACATATTTTGGACTCCTTGCGCTACACATTGCGTAGATCTTATGCTTGAGGTAATTGGTAAATTGCCTCCTATTAAAGGAATTATTTTTAAGGCTAAGGAGGTTACAATCTTCATATACAGTCATATACTTACCCTTAGCATGATGCGCAATTTCATAAAAAAGAGAGAGCTAGTGAGGCCTGGGGTCACTAAATTTGCCACTGCCTACCTTAATCTACAAAGCATATATAAGAGGAGGATCGCATTAAGGTCTATGTTTGCTTCATAAGAGTGGCGTAGGTGTAAGTGGTCTAGAGATGCCAAGCGAAAGAAGACACAAGATATTATTCTTTCAAAATATTTTTGGCGTGGGGTGAAGCATACGATATTAGTATTTCTCCCCTTGGTGAAGGTACATACAAAGAGAAGAAATAGGCTTGAGCAAAGGAAGCTCAATGACTTGGTTTTTGTTAGGGAGAATCAAAGGCACGAGGAGAAGAAAAACCAGCCAAAGAAGGACCCTATCTCTTCGAAAGATATGGAGAATGTTTCAAATTGGCTAGTTAGTGACCCTGCTACTGTGGAGGTCTTCCTTGGGAAGGGTTTGACATGAGAAATGGTCAAGGAGGCTTCGAGGCAAGCTTCTGATCCTAGGAGGGCCACTCGAACAACTTCTTCTACTGGTACTTCATGGCGGGAGATAGAGGAAGAGGAAGTAGATTCAAAAAAATCTCTGGAAGAAGAGGAATATGCTGAAGAGGGTGATGATTCTGATGATGACAGCCTCGTTTCTAATGCAGATCAAGGCAATGAAGCTGATGATTATGATTCTTATTGATGTCTTGATTGCCTTCTCTCTTCTTTTGTAGTAACTTTATTGCACCATCTTGGTTTGGGCTTTAGACATTTGGACGATTTTTATTTAATATTTAGTAATGTAGTTTGCAATTTTTTTGCCTTTTTGAACTATTTCGTTGTGTGGTTTCTATTATGGTTTATTTTATGGATATGGAATATGGAGAATATGAGAGTTGGAGACCTTACAATAGCCTATTAGACTTTTAAATGTTTTGTATGGTTTGAAATTTTGAATAAGTTTATTCTCAACCTGATTACCTGAGAGACTGAGACATGTGATATGTTTGTATATAAAAACATATGTTGCGAACTTGCGATATTTTCAAATGGAATAAATTACAAAATTTGATACAAATATATGCATATATGTGCATTTGGATATATAAAAAAAAAAAAAGTAAAAAACTAAGAATTTGCACCACATGGCGCCTGAGGTTCAGGGAGCCCGCCTAGGCGTTGGGTGCCAAGAAGGCCGCCTAGCATTTTTTGAAACCTTGATTGTATCTAATTATGCCAGATATATTTCCTTGAAAAAAATTAAGCCATGTGTAAATTTTTATATTCACCAGAGATGCAGGTCAAAATAAACTACTTATCAAGTTGCCTTTAAAAAACACTCACAGTATGGAGTTTACAATTACTCTGCACTTCCATAAATTGAACAATACCTTCTTGCCAAACTAAATGACAAAGCTATAAGAGGGGAATTGTATCTGATTAAGCCAGATATATTTTCTTCAAAAAAGCAAGCCATGTGTAAATTTTTATATTCACCAGAGATGCAGGTCAAAATAAAGTACTTATCAAGTTGCCTATAAAAAAATTCACACTATGGAGTATACAATTACTCTGCACTGCCATAAATTGAACAATAGAAACACTGTCACATAATTTAATTCCTTGTACAATGAAATAAAAAGACAATTTCTCAAATATTACCTCATTCTTTGTTGTGGTATCTCTTCCTCCCCCATGAGCAGGCCTCAAAGCTAACTCTAGATAATCTCGGGGAGTTATTTGCCTGCCGTTCTCTGCCAAGTCCAAATAGAAGTCCTGCAAAAGAACGATATAAAAAATCACAAAGCAGAAAAATCCATAAATCAAAGAACAAAACTCCTTCACTGAACAAGAGGCAAAATATTCACATAGAGAGCAAATTAGCAATTAGAATATTAGTTCCATGATAAAACTAAAAGCTAGAAGACTAAATTACCCTTAGAAGCCAAACAAAAACTGGAGAGAACTGGCCAAGTTCAGATGTCGTGGTCCGTCCTCCAGAGGCACGAACTCGGATATGCTTCGTCATTTCTGTGACAAGAGATAGACGATCTAATGCAGCCTCATCGATGCCCCCCATCTGAATAAATAAAAACAAGTCAAGTAAAAAAGAGGTTAATGAACCATTTAAAGTTTTTTTTTTCCCTTTTTTTGCTGGTTAAATTATGCTCTCCATCGCATCATAACACAACACATTATATGTGGGGAACAATGAAAACATTGGATCACAGGCAAGAAGCCATTCAGACAACCTAGGCAAATGTAGTTGAAGGAATGGTTTTTTTTTAAAAAAAAATGTTAATGCAATTCAAGGAACTTGACCTGGTTATAAATAAACATGCTAGACAAGAGGACAGCCAAGGAGAATATCTGAGTACTGTAGGTTCCCTGCAAAGAGACCGCCACCAAAAAGCTGTTAGAATAACATAACAGCAGTACAACCATAACTAAAGCATACTGTGGCATAACAAACTAAAAGAAAAATCTCAACACTTGTGTTCAAAAGTTAAATCGATTGACCAGCTAATCCTCAGATTTTTTATACTAATGTCACGAAAGTAGAAATAGTAGAAAAATCTCAACACTTGTGTTCAAAAGTTAAATCGATAGACCAGCTAATCCTCAGATTTTTTATACTAGTGTCACGAAAGTAGAAATAGCGTTTTACAATTGATGCCCTAATTCTGAATACATCACATTGAAGTACACTAATTCTGAATACATCAGCTTGTGACTTTTTACAGTTGATGCCCTATGGGTTCTGTCAAGCTTCTCAATGATCCCTACTGGGTACCGAAGAGGGGAATAAAATAAATAGGGATACTTGAGTTAATTTCTTGACTCTCCAACATAGCAAAAGGATCTATGCTTCCAGGTAGTGAACCAGGTCCAGTATATGTTTGGCAGATATCAAGCTTCCTAAGGTACTCAGCTTGTGAGGGGTTCAAATCAAGGAAAAGGTTAGTGCCATCAGCAGCTAAAGTATGCTCCAAGAAATTATTTTGACCGAGTATATTGACAAATAGCAAGCATTCAGATTTTTTAATCCACGTAAACATGTATCACAAGCTCGAGCTACATGGTTGATTCTCGAGCTTGGAATCATAACAGGAACAGAACAAAAGACCATTGCTGCAAATTAGAATAGACGAATATCTCCAGATTGAGGTGTCAAGATACCCATATGAATACGCGATTTGAACTCTACAGGAAATATTTTGTAAATAGGTTTAAAACCTAGTCTCATAGCCCTCCAATAAAAGCAAAACATTCAGTTGGAACACATGAAATGTCAACAAGTGGAAAGATATACGTCCAATTCCACACTTTGACAGTGGACATCAATGGAAAGTAGGAAATGCACAATGGAAACAAGTGCCGAAGTGGTTATAGATCCAGTTAACTCCCCAAGTCACAAAACGTGGATAAGCTTTAAATGTTTATCAAGTTAAGAAACTAAAAAAAGAAAAAAATAATAGGGAGACATTTAAAATATAAACCATTCAACATTTCACCCACTTATCAAAACAACTAAAATATCAACTTTTATTAGTCATGACTGTGTCCTCTGATGGGATTTATGCCCTCAAATCAAAAGAAAAGATAAGATGTTAAATAGTTCATCTCTTGGGTAGTATTTAATAAATTTCACAAAGTAATAAATACAATAAGATTGAACTGTGTAAAAGTGAACACCAAACCCATTTGTTACAGACCTATCAATCTTTTTTGAACCAGCAGAAAATAACATTTTAGAACGAAATAATGTAAAGTAAAATACTGAAAACTAAAAATATAGCAATAGTAATATGTATCTATCAAACTCTACTATTGTATCTATCAAACTCAGTTCAACAGCTACAAAATCATCCACCACATACCATGAAAATGGAGTATAAATAGCAATAAGCATCAAGGTAATTAAAATAGGAAATGAAAGTTCCAATAAATTAAACCAAAATTCATAACATCATGAATAAACAACCATGAAAAAAACCAACAATTACCGTTTGATCATAAGCATCAATCCCTTCGCTGTCCAACAGCAACAGGTTGTACTCAGTTCCATCTAGAGCAGTTCTCTTCAAAGGTGCACTCCACATCCAAAGCCCTTTTGTGCAAGGTCGGTGGGTAGAGGCCACTTGAAAGCCGCTACTCCTCCCAAGAAGCTACAACCCATTTAAACAACACAACAATTTAGTTAAACTAATATATTGAAGAAACATCGGAAATACTTCTTGCGTGTCACTTCAACCTTCTAACACAAAAGAAATCAAGAAGATATGAACACAGAACAAATCAATTCTGCAAGAACAACCAAACATCATTTAAATTTTTAAAAAGGAAAACATGGAATTCTTCCAACTTACCATGTGTTACATTGACAACATGAACAGTTGCATAGACGTCTTTTTTTGGGGTTAAATAAAAGTTGCACCATTGCACGATAAACATTAAACAGGAAACAGGAAACAGAAAGTACAATGCGTGTACATGTCTTTCTGAAAAAGGTTAATACAAAACCATAGTAAACAAAGTAACCCAACAGCGATGTTTCAACAGATTTTACTCTATTCTCAGCAGCACAGAAACCAGTACTATTTTTTACCTAGGGTTCTTCTGCCTTTATTTTGATTTGGCATTTTTATTCTTGTGCATATTTGCAGCATTTCCTGATTATGATCAATTTTTTATCTTTTGCCATGTCAAATTCATTCAAATTACACTTGGATGATACAAAAAGATTGCTGAAGTAACATCTAACTAGTCAGAAGAACACTGATGTTAAATTCATTCAAATTACACTTGGATGATACAAAAAGATTGCTGAAGTAACATCTAACTAGTCAGAAGAACACTGATGTTAAATATCTCTACAAAGATTTAAGAAACTAAGAACTTTCACAACGCAAATAATCGCACCTAAAACCCAAATGAGACAGAAATTTTGCTGCAGTTTTATTAACTAACTACTACGGCTAGGCCATGGGCTAGTCCCTTTTACCNGTTACCGGTGGGGTACGGGGACGAACGGGGACACCGAAACCGAGGGGGAACGT